TCCTATTAGAATCATCAAATTAATTTGCATATCAATTTTAGAAATATTTGGCTAAAAATAACCCTTAGGAACTAAGCATAAATAGATGTTGCTATGCAAATGGGGTTGCCTTGGCAACCACACCAAAAAACAATGCTCATTTAAATTAAAATCATTCAATTAATTTATATACTAATTTTTGGGGCCTATGGATGAAAGGAAAAAAAGTTATGACTTTTTTCCAAAAATATGGGATTCTGGCCCACTGTGCTATGGGTCAACACAACAGCTACTTTTAGACTGCCGTCAACCTCATAGTCAACTAACTATACATTGTTATTAATTTTAATGCTTTTAAAAATCTTTTTAAAATTTTTGAGAAGTTATCTCTTTCTAGGAAAAGACCTTTTTTTTTTACACCAGTTTGCTTTTTAAATTAAAAAATAGATGGGAATGCTTCCGTTTTTAGAATTTTTTTGCCAATATTTTTCAAATAAAACAAACACTAAAGTTATATTCTTTGTAATAAAATTGTCATTACCCTATTTTCTTCTAAACTGAGAAATAATTGTATTTCACTTATTACGACAAAAGACGTATCTACGGGATGTCTACTACGTCGTTAGACGTACCCAAAAATATTAGATAAATGTAATTAATAATCTGAAATGGTTGGAAATATATTAAAAACTGGAGCGGAAATGTCTATTGTTATTAGGTATGTAGACAGTATTTATAACACTTGTAAAGATTTCTTAATGTTTGTTACTGCCCCTATTTAGTGAAACGTGCTCTTAGTCGAAAATTACGGGCATGTTTAAATAATTATCTTAAAGTTTGTCAAGCAAATCAATTTGTTATACTTGTTGGGTTCAAAAACGCAAAAAGTCTAGGCATTTTTTTTTTAGCAAAAGACTCTTCATATTTGATGTCTGAATTTTCTTTCAATGTAACTTAAGTTTTAATAAAAATTTGATAGATTGAGTTTTTTAGGTTACAATTAGATTTTCAAGATAAGCAATACAATACATCTCAGAGTTTTAAAATTGACAATTAAAAAACATGCTTCAAGAAATTAAAATTGGTATTGATTTATATCACTATAACTGGTTTAATATTGCGATTGAATTAGCTACGGCTTTAAATGTAAAAGAACAAAAGTCTAGAAAATGTTGAAAGCAAATCAATCATGGTAACCATTCATCATCTGATTATTTTGAGCTTTTCATTACTTTACCCATCTAGTATTTCTTCTACTGGACCATCTTTTTAATGATCTTATTAATTATATAAGATTTCAAACAGAAACTATGTTGGTTTAGATGGGACATTTGCAATTCCAACCGCCATGTTAAATTGCCTGAAAGCTAACTAAGATTGCTAAATCTACTTTCATGAATATTTGGATTTCTATCATTCATATCTTTGCATTCAATCTCTATTCATGCAGAGATTAATTATGAAAGCCTCTTTAGACAAATCAATCAAAACCTTCATCTTGTATTTCTTAAAAAAAAAATGTCATGACAATGACTGGTTTTCCCAACGTTCTTGAATTTTTTTAATTCTGCGTAAAATACCTAGGGTTATCAGCGTATTTTCAGCTTTTGGAGAGAAATGTTTAAAGTTGCTGTTTAAGCCTTAAATAATTGGCTATGATTGAATAATAATTATAATTTTATATTTACAATTATTTTTTTGATAAAACATTTTTATAACTTTCTCTTAAAGAATCTTATTTTTTATTTGTTTCAAATTTTTATTAAATAAATTTATTTTCTATTTTGTGTAATTGACCATTTTAGAAAAAAAAATTCCGTATGACTGCCATATCTTTAAGATTGTTTGCCAAAACTTACTATACTATCTTCTAACATACTGTTAAACAACTTTTTACAAAGTACAATTTTTTTATGTTTTTGTAGCTGTTTTTTTAAAGCATGTTATTAAAGCATGATTATATATATATATATATATATATATATATATATATATATATATATATATATATATATATATATATATATATATATATATATATATATATATATATATATATATATATATATATATATATATATATATATATATATATATATATATATATATATATATATATATATATATATATATATATATATATATATATATATATATATATATATATATATATATATATATATATATATATATATATATATATATACATATATATATATATATGTATATATATATATATATATATATTAGAAAAAAATTAAAAACGTTTTTATTAAGTTTACGATGTTATTTATTTTTTTACAAGATTATATGAAAAAAATGCAATATTGTTTAATCAGCGAAATAAAAGTTAATAATAATAAAAAAAATATAAAAAAAGGCTTAAGGTAGCGTTACAATACGGTTTGGTCTTCATTGGTTACACTTCTAAAAGTGTTTTTTAAAAGTGTGAACAATTCATATCTAACGCAGCGTACCGTAATGTTACGTTAACCTTAAAATGTACATAAAACATACGCATATATTTAAAAAGTGGAAACTATATAGACCTAACCAGTGGGCGCTGATCTAATTCTTATATAGGGGGCAATGTTGATTTTAGATTAGAGGTAATTTTACAGTACGTTACGTTAGGTATCAATTGGTTACACTTTTAAAGTTTTACACTTATTTTTACACTAATTGATATTTAAAGTAGTGTACGTAACGTTACGTTAAGCCTTAAATGTACGTAAAATATACGTATGCGTACGTATAAAATATAAGGATTAACTAAAAAATTATGCATCACTTAGTTGCGTATTGAAATTTATTTATTTTTTGTGACAAAGTAACCAATTTAGGTTACTTTGTCACTTACTTCCATGAAGTACGTACGCAGTTAAACCACTTTTTTTGGGATCTCTCTTCCCATGTAGGCATCTGTTTCATTTTTAACAGCCCCATCCTCCCACCTTCTGCGTAACTACGCACTATTTATTAAAAAATTATTCCTCCCGTTTCCCAACGCAAAGATTTTTCAAAGCATTAAAAACAAAAAATTTTTAAATTAAATTGATATTATTCTGTTATATAACATAATATTGATATTTTAAATTCGCAAAATTCAATCCTTTTAATAATAAAAAAAGTTTTAGGAGAGAGATTTAGTACAAGAGATAGTCAAACTGCCTACGTACTCGCTGTCTTCAATACCCCTTCCCGGTACGTTTTTGGGCAATCTTTTTTCCCAAATATCTGCGTACATACTTTATGGAAGACCCCTTCAAAAAAAATTTTGTACATAAAAAATAAAATAAAAGATGATAAACAACAACATGACAAAGATAAACAAACATTTATAGCGTTTTAAAGTTTATTTAAAAATTATTTTTAAAGTTTACTTAGTAACAATTTTTAAAGTTTGATTTTTTGATTAAAGTTTGATTGATTGATGATTAAAGTTTAATTAGTATTCATTTTTTATTTATTCATTTTTATTTTTTTATTTATTTTATTTCGTTAATATGCAAACATATTATGTTATATATATATATAATAATATGCAAACATTTTATGTTATATACTTTAATAATATTTACAATGTTATCTCCTTACCTTTATATATATATATATATATATATATATATATATATATATATATATATATATATATATATATATATATATATATATATATATATATATATATATAGATATATGTAAAATATCTACTATAGCATATTTATATGCGCAATCGCTCACTTTTTTTGCTCATCTAAATCGATATAGGTTTTTTAGAAAACGAAGAGGGAAAACGAAAAATAATGAATGAAAAGGTTGTTGACCCATCCCAAAACCCTTAGGCTATGTAGCAGCACTCCACTGCGAGTCAGGTTATTTGTCAGTTGATGTATTTACTAAAGCCCCCAACTGCAGGCTATTTCAGTATGACGTTATCATGCTCACCTAACTCAAAAGTATGAAATAAAAAATTTTGAAAAAAATTTAAGTAAAAAAGTGTAACCATATAAAACTTTTATGTTGTGCTATTATTAATGAAAGCAGATCCGATCATACTTATATAAGAATTATTAATCAAAATTATGATGCTGTTAGAAGTGTTTGCTGATCAATGTTCTGAATTGATCAGCAAACATTTAAAATGTTTAAAATTCTGAAGAGATTTTCAACTTCTGAATCTATTTTTATATAACATAAGAGCTTCTGAAAAATACGTCATTATAATTACAGCGGTATTAGAATAGTCTCAAGGATTAGAGTGAGGGTTGTAAAGATGACGTTAATTTATAAAAATCAATAATTAAAAATCTCAAAATTTTTGAAAGCTTCATCTTTAAGTTTATGCGAATTCTTATTTTATGTTATTTTATATTATGTATTGTAGTTTATGTTTTGGGCATTATACTATACATATTTGTTATTTTAATACTCTATAAATCATTCCATTAATTGTAAATAATCGAATGTAAAGCCCTTTTTTGGTTTTAATTAATATGTTAATATGTAAACACCTAATAATATCATATTTTCCAGTATTATAATATAAAAACATAAGAAAGAGTTTATGGCAAAAAGATAAATTTGCCCTATTCCCTAAAAATGATTTTTTAGTCAGATTGTACACCAAGCAATTCGTTTTTTCTCTTTTTTTATTGTTTTGAAAAGCTTATGCGTTGGAGAAAGAGGGGTTTAATTTTACAAAAAAGAATGCGTAAGTACGCTGAAAATGATGAGGGGAGGGGTGGCGAGGGGTTAAAAACAAACAGGTGCGTACAAGAAGAGAAGAGGAGTATTAAATAAACATAGGCTTTCAGATAATTTTGTAAATGTTTTTTAGCTTATAATAAAAGTAAATAAAAGTTTTCTAAAAAATTTGATTTTAAAAACGAAAAATACAGAACAGATTATATACCAGAACAGATTGTTTACCATTTTAGGATTAATTATATAAAGTAACCTAATCAAAAATAGAAACTAGTTCCTTACCAACACCTGGAAGCAATAAAACTAATAATATATGAAACCTAAGCACTTTTTGAATATATTTAAATTTCAAACTAAGTCTATATGGAAACTAAAGAATGACATTCACACACAATAGCAGTACGGACGAAGGTGAGGAAATTCATTAATAATACAATGAGGTTGATTTCCATATAAGTTTATTCTGCTGATATTTGGATCTACAATAATTTTTTTATTGGGTAAAACTTTAGCATTTGCTTCAAAAATTCCATTGCTAGGTAATACCGCAACAACAACTTCATAATATTCTTGAGATATAGCCTTAGTATCGTAAACAGTTCCGCATGAATCACACTCTTGATTTTTAGAGGTGTTTACATATTGAATGACTGCTTTCTTCGGAGTTTTTAAGCCTGCTGATAAAATATATCCTAATGTTAAGTTAAAACAAAGTTTTGCAGAATTTTCATTTTTATTGTTAAGAGAATTTATAAAGTGAACAACTTCTTGGGCAACCAATTGCACATTTGCATCTGTTATTGGAACTCTTTTATAATTTAGACAAGGACACCAATGTTCTTCAACACCAGAGTTACGATAAGTTTTAATTTTAGGATCAATTTTAGTAAATAAACTCTGACCAATAAATGTCTTATTTGGAAGATCTGGGTAACTCAACATATGATGAAGAAAAGCATAAATATCAAAATGATTGGTTAAAACATTCGATTTTTTTTTCAAAGTTGTAAACATCTTTGGATATTTAACATTAAAGTCTGGAGGTAAAGTAATTGAAAAAAATGGCAATCTTCCTCTAACTTACCTTGAAGTGTTGAGCGAAAAGGGCCAATCCGCGCCATGATCTCCAAATATTATAAAAATGGAATGGTTAATCCTGACTGGAGATTTAAAATAATTTATGATTTCAAATATGTCATCATCAATTACTTGTAAACCATTAAAATCATTGTGTGCAATGGCTGAATTGATTACGAAAGATACTTTTGGCAAGCCTTTGAAAGTTTCAGTGAAAGTTTTTAGCATTATATTGTTATATTCAACGTCGCATTTATGAGAGGGTTTCTTAGCGAGCCAAAACGGACGATTATACCAAGATGTTGGCGCAATATTAAAACCATTCAGACGATAATGAAAGGTACCCCACTTTGGGTTATCTTCACTAAACATTGTAAGGTAGCCAGCTTTGTGTAGATCCTTAAATATAAAATTAAATTGATCACATTTACTTGCGTTTAATACGCTTTTTCTTGCTTCTGGAAGATATTTTTCGTGTTCACCTAAATGTTTGAAAATTTAATTATTATCACTATTAACAACTATATTTATTCAAAGCAGTAACAAGTTTATATAAATAGAAAATGAAATAACCTACTACAATTAATATTAGATTAGTTTTAAATACTTTATATCTTTTTAAGTAAACTTAATAACACTTAACAGTTAAATAAATAATAATTTCTTGTAAGATTAAATAAAAGAAGAATTTAAAAGCACATTTATATGAACTACATATGATTATGATACGTGAGATAATTTAAATTATTCATTAATTAAACGTTATCTATGTGTCTCAATTTTAAAATATGAGTTTATTTACGTACATTTATGGCTTAATATAATATTACTATGGTACGTTACGTTAGGTCTCAATTAGTTAAACTTTTAAAAAGATATATATTAGAAGTGTAACCAGTTAAAACGTAACGAAGTGTAAGAAATATTTCAAGGATTAATTTAAAAAATTATGCTTCTTTTACCCAGTGGGCACCAGACCAAAAAAAGACGTCTTTTGAACGTTCAAAAGACGTCCAAAACGTTCAAAAGACGTTTAAAAGACGTCTTTTTTACGTCTGCGCCCACTGGGTAATTGCAAATTGAAATTTTATTTATTTTTTGTGACAAAGAAACCAATTTAAGGGACATCCATAAAATACGTAGGGAGTAAAAATACTAATTTAGAACCTCTCCCCTCTTTTAATCATTTGTTTTATCCTCAAAAGCCCCTACACGCACACACCTTCTTATTAAATTTAATAAACTTTTTTAACTTTTATATATGGCTCTTATATTATATATTTTTAACAACAATTCGTTATATGGCTCTTAAATTATATATTTTTAACAACATATTATATATGTTGTTAAAAATATATAATATAAGAGCCATATAAAAGTTATAATAAAGGTTAAATAAAATTTATACTCAATTTATTATAAGGTTGCTTATATTAAAATCGTTATTCTTTTTGCTTGTGTAAAGTTTATTAAATTACATATCGTGTAAAAAACTATAAACAATCTTGTCCGTAAACACGCAACATATAGCGCATAGCATATAGGTCATGAAAGAAGAATAGCGTTTTACAAAAACATAAATTCTTATCAAAAGTCTAAAAATATTTTTTTTAAAATATACTAATCAAACAAGAAACTTTAATGTAAAGGACAAACTTAAACCCGACAGAGTTATCACCCTTTTATCTACAGACACATCTATTAGAATTTATCCGTTAACGTAATTATAGTGAACGTATCGGTGTGTCAAAATGAAATCAAGCAAAAGATTAAATAAATTGTTAAAAACAAATCGCGAGGTTAGAAATATTTTTTTCAATCACCATTTGTTAAAAAAATTGAGTTATTGATTGTGTTATGTATTGTTTTTAAAGCGTTTTATCGTAAAACTCAAAAATGTGGAGTTGGAACAAGAAAATTCTAACCTTACAGTATGCTAATAAACGTAAAAATAAAAGATACATATATACTCTACAAAAAAAGTAAAACTTTATTTAAAAATATAGATTAATAACCCTATTTTATGAAAAAATTAGTTTAAAGTTTTCACATTATTACTTTCACGAAGACACAAAAAATAGTAGACCGGAAGACCAGGGCTAATTGGCAGCAGAGGTAAGTTGACAAACTTCGTTTATCTCCAGAATCTTCCATCAGAAAGTGACAAAAATTATATAGAACCTTCCTAATTGACCATATTATCATTCACTATAGTATTGTTAGGATTCGCGCATGCGCATCGATGATATAAGAATTTATGTGTTTTTTGGACAAAAACGTAACTTCTTTTTAATGAAAATAGTTGGTCGTATGAAAAAAAAAATATTCTAAAAACTCCAGTCACAATTGGTTAACAGTTTCAAGTTTTTTTCAATAGCTACCGTTTTTCAGGATCTATAGACTGTTTATTGAAAAAAAAGCTTTTGGGGTAAGTTCGCAAAATTAATTTTTTTTTTTTAATTTTTAACTATATTGAAAAAATTTATTTTAAAAAAATTTTTTTTGGATTTTTTTTTATAGATAAAAAGTAGGTTGCTGTTTTGGCTGTTATTCGTACCAGCTTGTAGTACTTGTCGTACTTGCTTATAGTAATATTAAATTTTTGGCTTAAACATTAATAATCATTTTTATAGTTTACACCAATATACACCGGGGTGGGGTAAGTTGGCTAAATGCAATTTAAAAATGTTACCTAAATTCATACACTTTAAGACTGCGCTTTATTATTAACAAACAATTTTATCGTTAGAACTATAGAGCTCAAAGAGTAAAAACGAAGGCAACTAGCCTTGGTCATTTTGTATTTTTTAACTAAATTTAAGAGTCTAAACAAGCTTTTAAGGACAGTCGCGAATAGGAGAGGCGGATGGGTTATTGTGAGTAATGTATTACCGTCACAATATATTCTTTTTTTTCACTAGAAAAAGAATATCTTGTGCATTGTGATGGTTTGAATCAAAGCGATTTCAAACTTAATCAAGTAGAAGATATTCGTAATGAAACGGCATATTTATTTTGTACGTTTATACATAAAAAGTCACAATGCCCGTTTGATATTTGTTGACAATTTCAGTGACATTATTGCTGGTTTAAAAGAAATCTATAAAAACAATGACCGAACGATTGATACAATGACACAACATGCTTATTCATTATTTAATGTATTGTGTAACTTTTCTTTTTTAGTCAGTCTAGCCTGAGCTAAGAAATTGATGAGTCTAACTGTATACCTATCTAAAAAGTTGGTCTGACGGCCAACTTCTGTAGTGATGTTATTCACCAGAGCTACAACTTATGGTTGACATCAAAACGAAAGTTGGCCGATGGAGAAAAGACAATACAGTGTGGCAAGGCTAAGAGTTTGCCAGATTTAACCAGGCTGAATATCTTGCTTAAATGACCAAATGTTACATTACAAAACCCCGTTTAAGTTCCAGAAGTGTAGGGCAAACATTTACAGATGTGCAAGAACTTAATGAGGCAGACTTTAAAAAAGTTATATGGTTACCTTATTTAAATAGTGTTTTGTTATAGTTATGGGTGAAGTTATGTAACTATACTGTTACTGCACTTCTGTTACTTAAAGTTATCTGTTATCTTTTTTGAGTCAGGTCAGGTTATCCTGCCTCTGGTAATATGTAACCAAGTACAACATGCTTCATGTCCTGCTGCCTTGTAGGATACGTTTTTTTAGGCAAAAGCTAGGAGAAGTCAAATCCAACTTTAAACACCCCCTGTCTTGGGTCTCTTGGTTAAGTAAAGACTAGAGATGTTAAAAGCTAAAGATGTTAAATGCATCCGGCTACTGTCTTGTAGAAGACCTCCACAGCAAAAACTTGAGGGGTAAACAGATTCTATCTGTTGACCAGCCTCGTACCCTTTTTTCATCTATTAGACTAGTGCAGATGTACTTGTAATACATTGTTTCCAGTTTGGATGTTGAATGCTGGATCTTCATGATTCAATGCATGGGTTTTACTTGTGTCTCAGCATTAAATATCAGAGTATGAATAGTTCATGTTGCGCATGGATGGTGTCCCTGTTCTGATGCTTTTTATTTCTTTTATTTTTTTAATTAAACGTTACTTCATTATATTCAATTGTGTTGATAAACTTTTAGTTACTAATTAATGATTTGCAAAATGTTTCGGAAACAAATTGATGTGCGTAATTAAGTTGTGAATTTTTTTTTGCAAAAATAATGGATTTTTGCAAAATATTTTTGCTTGCTAAACTTCATATTGCTTGCTTGCTAAACAAATTTCCTAAAATCCACAGTCATAGATGTTATAAATAAGTTCAAGACTATTCAAAGCTTCGAAAGAAAATCTGGAAGTGGAAGAAATAAAACTTTCCGTAAATCCAAAAAGGTAAAGTCGATATTACGTTCAATAGTAAGAAATCCAGCAAGATCTAGCAAGAAAAATCAAGATTTTTTGTTCTTATATCAAAAAAGTACTTAAAATTGCCGGAATTAAAGCATTTCATAAGAAAATTACACCTTAGAGAAGCTTAAATGGTGAAATTAAAGAAATTTAACGCGCAAAGAAGTTGGTTAAAATAATGGCGGATAAAAGTATGTGCATAATTAAAGACGACGAGACGTATTGCAAGGCGGATTTTTCACAACTTCTTGGTCAACAGTTTTACTAATGGACCAAAGATAAACCTTGATGATCAATTTAAACATACTTGACTAGAAAAATTTGCATCCTGGTTCGTGTGGCAAGCAATTTGTAGCTGTGGTATGCTGTCCTCCTGTTTTGTCACTAAGGAGACCTTGAATGCCAATCTCTACATCAAAGAATGCCCTAAAAATGATTTTTGCTATTTATGAAAAAATTCTAAAAATATTCTACAGTACAGCAAAGATAATAATTTGAAAATTGTTCCTAAAGTTGCAAACCCTCCAAATTGTCCAGAAGAGGGCAAAGTTAAAGATTTTTGGGCAATAGTTAAATGAGTTCTTTGTAAGACAGGTGGAGTATCAAAAAGTAAAAAGAACTTCTAAAAGAATAATGTCACCAATAAAATGAAAAAAAGAAAAAGTCTGCAAAATAATGGCATCAACCCGCTTTAAAATTCGATCTCTTGTCAAAAAGCCCATCAAGTCCCTTAAAATTAATTTGAAACTCTAATTGATGTAATCACATTTAATAATAAAAAATTGAAATAAAAGCGTTTATAGTTTTAGAGAAATCTCAATTCAAAGTTGACCGGATTTTTCCATGTCCACCCGATATTCCACCTCTCTTGTATGGTTCAGATTTTGTCACCTCACCTAAACACAAAGCTGACTTGTTTTCTAAGAACTTTTCATAATTATCATCTCTTAATTCCACTAGTTCTATTTTACCTGCTACAGCTAACAAACAGGTCGATGCATTGCTTGACATTCACATCACTCCAGCTTCAATATCTAAAGTGATTTCCTGCTTAGACTCTTCTACAGCTTGTGCTCCGGACAACATACCTGTTTTAGCCTTGCAAAAATGTTCTTTCAATACTATTAAACAAATGCTTATTAAAGTCTTGTTTTCCAGCCTACTGGAAAGCGGCATCTTTTATCCAATTTTTAAAAACTGATCCGATTCGTCTAACTGTCATCCTAATAGTCTTCCGTCTAACAGCCGTCCTATTAGTCTTCCGTCTAACTGCCGTCCTATTAGTCTTCCGTCTAACTGCCGTCCTATTAATCTTCCATCTAACTGCCGTCCTATTAGTCTTCCGTCTAACTGCCGTCCTATTAGTCTTCTTCCTATCATAAGCATGGTTTTTGAATCTTTAAATAACAAGCACTTAATCTCTCATCTTGAATCGAATAACTTACTTTCTGATTACCATTATGGATTTCGATCTTCTCATTCTACAGCTGATTTGCTACCAGTAATAACTGAAAGGTTTTAATGTACATTTGATAGATGTGGAAAGGTTAATCAGTCTATCAGGTAACATTATTAAAATTATTGAATCTTTTATTTCTAATTGTAGTATAAAAGTTGCCCACAATAAACAGCACTCTACATCTTATCCTGTAACTTCTGGGGTCCCAAGGATCTATCCTTGGCCTTATACTCTTTTTAATTTACATTAACAATATTTCGGATATTCACACATCTAAGGTGGCAAAATTACAGATATTTGCAAATTTTACAAATCGCAATTACTCATCCTGTAACATCTTGTGAACCAGAACGTTGTTTCAGTGCTCTGAAGTTTTTAAAGTTAAGATACGATATTCCATGATTTATAATCGATTAAACAGTCTTCTCCTTATGTACAATCAATCAAAAATTAATAATGACCTAGATATGGTTAACATGTAACTCATCTCTGCCAAAAATTAGACCTTATTGTATTGAGTAGAAAATTGTATCAAATGTTTGAAATTGTTAATTTTTTCATTAAAAATTAACTTTAATTTAAAAGCAATAATTTTTCGATTATTCTAAGGAATTTCGTTTTGAGATCCGGTTGATATAAAAATATTCTCTGCAATAAATGACACCGTGTTATCAACTGACTGGGAGAAAGAGCCGAGGTGGTGGTGACATTCTTTTGACAATGCAATTTATATTTTTATAATATAAATATAAAAAATTCTTCCATATCATATTTTTAAATAGTTTTATTTAGTTTAATTTGAATTAGTCTTTTTAGTTATAGAATATACACATCCAAAATGGTCATCTTGTTCTAGTTTCCATAGTAAATTGAACGTTTTAAATTGCAGTTATTTTAATTTATAATAAATCAGTATAGAAGATGAACAATTATTAACCCGTTTTTCTTCGTGAAACTTAAAAAACATGTTACCTAAACCTTTATTTCAAACTTCATCATTCTTTTATTTTAGTAGAATTACTATTACTATTATTATTATTATTATTATTGTTATTATTGCTATTATTATTGTTGTTATTATTATTATTGCTATTATTATTATTGCTATTATTATTATAATTATTATTATTATTTCTGTTGTAATAATCTTAATAACATCAACAACTTTATTTATAAACTAATTTCGACTATTATTTCTAAACTATAAAAAATTTGTAATAAAATTATTTGTATTAACCATCATTCACTTAAATGCAATTACTCCCTATGTTCATTCTGCGTTAAATGTAGTTCTTTAAACAATATTTATTTTAGATTTTCAAAAAACTCTTTTAACGTCTTTGGCTCTGTATTATATGCTGTAAAAGTATCTTTCCTTTTGATTTTATAGGGGAAGTAGGGGCAAAACCGCATATGGAGGCACAAACGTTTTTTAACATTTCCCTTTGAAAAATGTTTTCTAATTCGAAAAAAAGCATACCACGCGTTAGTAAAACAGTTTCCTTCATTTTGCTTTTGTTAAAAAGTTACGTTTCTGAGAATTCGTGCATAATAGTTTTTATTTTGATAAAAAATATTATATTTATATCATATTTTTCCAGACCCTTTTTTTGAGGATTAATCAATATTTGATTTTAGTGTTGAAGATATGTCGCGACGTTAGAATTATCTTGTTCTATCTCCACTTTCTGAAAAAATTGAGTTAATGATAGTGTTGTGTTCCTCAAAATGATGCCTTTCTACTGAATTGAAACCTAAGTTATAAGTAAAAAAGTTGCGGAAAAAACATAGGTTATAAAAAAAAATTTATTCGCCGTCTTCTAAAGTTTTTGTTTTTTAGATCGTTTTATCTCAAAACTAAAAAATGTGGAGATAGAACAAGATAATTCTAACGTCGTGATGTGTTATTAGCGTTATTTCATCAAGTGAAAACCACTTTTGATATTAACATAACCTAATTAATCAAGCTATGAAACTGTATTTTTTCTAAAAACTATCCTCTGGGGCAGAACCGCATTGACGTACAGGAGGCACAACCGCATAATTTTAATATTTATCAGAGTTAGGTAATTACGTATAACAATAATTACAATCGTCACACTTAAATGCGTTCATGTGAAAACTTAAATATAAATAGTTTTGTTTTGAGATGTTGGAAATTAGATTGCGTATTTTTTTATTTAATTTTTATAAATGAGCTTTTAATTAAAATATAAAGCTAAGAATATATATCGAATGAGAAAGCTCAGACTGTAATATGAGCTGTGACGATTGTAATAAAAATGTACCAAGAAAAGTGTACCCCCAATGATTTTGTGAGGGTGCGATTGTGTCTCACAATGGGTGCAAAACTGTTTTTTTCACTAAGTGTAATTTTTGTGTAATAGCATTTTCAAAAACCGTTTAATTTTTTACTTAATTGCATCAATTTAAAGCTTAATAATGTGGTTGTTGAAATAAACTGTTAAAAAAACACATTGCGTTTTTATTTTCATATAACATTAATCCAAATGCTACGGGGGTGGTTCTGCCCCTGCTTACCCTACAAAACACTTGATATTATAAAAAAGTGAAAACAGCATGGGAACAACGTTATCATTCTGAAGATAAAAATAATGTGGTTTTTATATATCTATAGACAACAAAAAAATGAACTGAATCCCAGTTCATTTTTTTGTTGTCTTATATTTCTGACATATTTATTATTTTTTTAGAATTACGTTTTCTGACATATGAATTACAGATATTTGCAAATCTTGTAATGCTAAAATAAAGTCTGCTGCTGAACTAATCTCGCATTAACTAGATTTAAGTCTCAGGGCTGCGATTTGCCTAGCAGTAGCTGCGATTCCGTCAACCATTCCTTTCCCGTGCATCGCTGTTCTTCTGGCACTTCTAAAGTGTCAGAAGAATTTTTTCTGAAAATTCTTTTCAAATATAAACATTTCAGTCATATTGAATTTTTTTTTTGAACTGAGAAGTAGCACTATCGCTTAACATGAGTACTTCTTTGACTCAATCAGGAATAAAGTGAAGGATTTTGTCATTGTACCGACATAGTGTAACTGAAGATTTTGTTTGATCCGTTGAATTAGAAACTATAGCAAATATTTTTAATTCAATTTTCCAGACGACAAGGGTCATGATTGAAACTTGATTTTGACCAAAATGAGCTGTATGCGGTTCATTTTGATGGAAATAGCGTTTTCAGCCCAGCCAACTTGGATTACCGTAATTTCAGAATTAATACTCATCGAAACTTTCTTCAGTTTTTTCTTCAAAATTGTTGATTGGTTTTTCTTTACTGATGCGTGTTTAACAAACTTATCACGCATCGCTGATATGTGTTGCATTAGTTTTGTTACAGTAGACTTCTTTGAAATTTTTTTAATGTTCGCATATGCTTTAGTTTCAGGCTTTCTCCCTCGTCCTAGGATACTTCGAAACCAAATGTATTAACAGTTTGCAAGTATTTATTGAACTGTTTTATACCTTTAGCATGAAACAGTTCGATAAAAGGTCGCAAAACTTGTTGAGTCCAAATTTTATGTGCTGATGCTTTTCCTTGAATATCTCAAAAGTTTCTTTTAGCGTATAATAAAAATGACGTAAAGGAATATTGTTTGTTTTCCGTCGAATAATTGAATTCGAAAGACATCTTTTTTGTTTGGTGATATTTGGGAAACTTCATCTTTATTATAAAAGTTTACAACTGCTAAAACATCACTTTCAGAAAGACCATACAGCTTTGAACAAAGAACTTCAGCTTGTTTTTTCTTAGAATTTGGTAGTGCTTTTTTCAATGCTTTTCCTCTTTGTTGAACGTTTTTAAGAGATAAGCTTAGTCTTTGAGATTGATTTAAAAGTGTATGTGACAAAAATTGAATTATTTTTAAAGAGTAAAAGTGTTTTTACTCAAGAGAAATATATAATCTCAAAGATTCTTTCTAAACAAAATATGGATATGTTTTGTTTAAAATGTTGCAATAACTTGCCCTCAAATTTTACTCACTTTTTCGAATAATAAAAAGAAAAAACAGCTGCTAACATTCAAGTAGATGTAAAATGGGGGTTTGACTTCACCTTGGGCTAAAGTAAACAGCGTCTATTAACAGCTTGTTTTTACTTTATGTTATAAGCATGCTCATATTAAACAGCGACATCTTTTTTACTTTAGGTTGCAGGCGCGCACGAGTCAAAAAGTCGTTACTATGGAGCTTAGCGCTCGACGTAGTAGCTGCGTACTGTTTTGTACTCTAGTTTATGCGGCTTAGTATGTAATACCATTGAATCGCCTTCAAACTTGGGGACAGCATCCATGTCGAGGAATACTAGGCAGTCGTAACTACCTATACCAACCGTCCGAGTTATTGTAATTAATATACCATCACCATTATTGCAGAGTTTTAAGCCAAATCCATGTAGGTGTGGATCGCTAGTGCTGCGGAAATTGACTGCAAGGTGTTGTGCCACCCCTAGAAACCAGTTATTTATTGTTGCGGGCTGGAAAGCATATTCTTTAAACATATTTGCCTCGGTAGAACTGGTTCTGTTAATTCCACTTAAATAGCGATAGCTTTCTTCATACAACTGTAACAATAAAGCCCCATTGCTGTACAACTTATTTGGTTCGCAATTTATAAGGACATCAACTTTGGTGGGTTTCCTTACAGCAGATGTTTTTTCTGGAACTCGTTTAAATTTGGGATAGTTAGAACAGATAATAAGTACATATTTTAAGGAGTCACAATTTACATTTACATCAAACAGCCATGTTGTTTGGGTAGAGTCTCGCTGAATTTTTCTATGACGAATGATCCTCTCAAACGCAAGACCGAATTTACTCATTGAGTTCATTTCAATCATTTTAGACAATTCAGGTAAGTCAACCGTTTCGTACTGTAAGGCAATGTTATTAAGACTGTAATTTACAGTGGCTAAACTTTCAGTTGAAACAATTACTTGACTACAATCAGAGAAGACAATTTCATTCTCGAACTGGTCACCTCATGAAGAAGGATGGAATGGTGCGCTACCCGTAAGTAGCTTGAAGTCGAGTGGCGTCATGTACTTACTTAGATTGCGGTCGAATGCAAGTGAAATAGTGCTGTTTGCTCCAGTGGTTACCGCAGTCGAGCAAAGTAAGATTACCTAGATCAACCTGGTCATCACACCCATGCATTAGCATATCTATCATGACTTTCTGCGTTGTTGGCAGGTAGAGAATTCTTGTGGCCCAATAATTGCCATAGTCTTGAAGGCTGTTAATTTCTTGACCTTGCATGTGCACAGTTAGCATCTCTACTAAAGCGCGCCCAAGGTTGTTTGCCGTACACTGCCAGGAACAACGATTTTATTCTTATCAAGGGATGGGAATCGGATCAATAAGGTTTGCCCAGATGCATTTGCTATTGTAGACGGATTTAAATTAACAGTAATAATTTGACGTTCTCCTCGGAACGCATGCCGAGTTAAGAGCTGACGCCCTGGGTCAAGGAGAGTCCCATAGGTTGATGCTAATGAAGAAGCCATTTCGACTTACTTAGTGAAAGCAATGTCACGAAGTTTTTGTAATGTCTTATTAGAGTGTAAAGTTTATCTCTAATACGCACGCATAAATATTAACACAAGTGCAAAGATGGCTGAAATGGTGGAAGAAATACCGTAAGAAACCTCTGACGTGTGGGGTAAGGAAGCGGAAACACAATTAACAAATGAAGATATTGATAATTTACTTACAGATATATTACCAGATGCCCCTTTGGGACCAGTTGGATCTGAGCCAGGAGCATCTATCGATGCTTTGAAAGCAGAGCTTGCTAAAACTATGACTGAAAGTGAGGTTGATAAAGTTTTAGCAGAAAAGTTGGCTAATAAGTTTTATTACCAATTAGGAGCCATTAAAGATAGAGTCGAAATAAAAAACTGTAAGTATGTTTAAAGTCAAACAAAACTCTAAAATATTTCTTTGGAATGTGCGCTTGATAGAACGGTCCAAAGAAATAATTTAGGACTATAGTAAAAAACAGTGCGCAGCTACTACATTGAGCGCTAAGCTCCATAGTGACCATTTTTCGACTCGCAACCTAAAGTAAAAAATATGTCAATAGTAGTCGCTGTTTACTTTGCGCGCACTTGCAAGCAAAGGTATATATACCCATAGCTTTAGATTAATAATGTCTGTGAATACCAAAAAATAGCAACTTTCTCTAAAAAAAACAGATTAAGTTACAAAAATATCATTAGTGTATATTTTAAATAATATAAATGATGCATTAAACGTTTATCCAAACAAAAAACATCTTATTTTAATACATAAATTTTTTTTTTTTTTGATTTTCAAAAATCAAAGTGAAGAGTAAAATGAATAACCAGGGCCGTCTTTTAGAGGGCTCTCATGTGGAATTGGGGGTTACGTCTAATGAGTTTTTTACCCACTAGAGATCTAAAAAAAAAGGTCCTTGATATTTGAGATTTGCCAACTACACTTGCACTAAATGTACGAAAGTGCCAATTCAAGTGCATATATAACTGCTTCGGGGGAGGGGGAAGGGGTGGAACACTCCCTATACCCCCGTTCGGGACGGCCCTGTAAATAACCATTTATTTTAATGTTCCAATTTGTTATATACTTCAAAACTGTTTATAATGTCACGTGACTTTAATTTGACATTATAAACTTTAATGATTTAATGCTAATATATAATCTTATTAGTATTACTAAGATTGCATGATTAAGTATTAATATATATATATATATATATATATATATATATATATATATATATATATATATATATATATATATATATATATATATATATATATATATATATATATATATATATATATATATATATATACACACATATGTATATATATATATATATATATATATATATATATTATATATATATGTATATATATATATATATATATATATATATATATAAACTGTAAATATATTATATATATATATATACTACATATATATTATATGTATATATATATATATATTATATATATATATATATATATATACATATATATATATATATATATATATATATATATATATATATATATATATATATATATATATATATATATATATATATATATATATATATATATATATACAGGGGCGGATCCAGGGTGTCGCGAATGATGCGCATGCATCAGTCTTTTTTCACCGCTAAATTTAAGTGTATCTCTTTTTCACTTTTTTTTTTTAATAAAAAGTAAAAGGAGAAATTGGAATCTGGTATTCACAAAAAATGAAAAACTTGTTTTAAACTCGAAAAAAAATCAGTTAAAGTGATCTCTATAGTTACTTATTCGATCTCTATAGTTACTTATTCGTTACTTAGACAAAATTCCTGCGTTTTGGAGCAACTGATGCAATTGTTTCTCACTAAATACAAATGTGATTGGTTTTAAAAAAAAAATAGTACGTTTTAACCAATCATATTTGTATTTTTTCACAAATTTTTCCGATCACTTTGTAGCAACTGATGCAATTGTACTCTAAATCATTAATGATTGGTTAAAAAACAGTTTAAACCAATCACTATTTATATATAATAAAATAACAATTGCATCAGTTGCTACAAAACTTCCGCAAAAAACTTTACAAAAAAGATAAGAAATGTTATTTATAACCAATCAAATTTGTAGAAAGTTTAGAACAATTGCATCAGTTGCTCCAAATCGTTCAAATTTTACAAAATTCTGATATGCCGCCTGATATACGTTCTTTGCTCGTAATTTTCGTCGTTGGACTTTGCTTGTAAACTAAAGTTTTGAAAAAAAAAATGAATTTTTTAGTCTCAAATGCAATTAAGGCTAGACATTTGCCAAATATTCGCAAATATAAAAACCAGTTGACTGAAGAATTGAAAGTTTTAAATAATAAGAGTCCAGTTCAGCCACATAGTCAGTCTTCTGAAAATACTGAAATGGATCGTTTTATCCCAAAGCAAGAAGATACTAAAGATTATGTTGCTTTAAGATAAAACCCTATTATTAAAGTTAATGGTATTTTATATTTCCAGCTAGTATTTAAACTGAGCTTGTTTTAGTATAATTTTTATTTTATTTAAGGTCATCTGAAGATGGAAATTGCCGGCAATTTCCATCTTCAGATGACCTTAAATAAAAATAAAAAGTAGAGGCATGCCTCTGGCAACTGTAGAGGCATGCCTCTACAGTTCAGCTTCACTTTTAAGCAATTCGTCTCTGAAGACAGTTATTGTATTGAGGCTTCTAACTTCGATTGAATTGTTTGAAAAAGTTTGCTACTATGCGAGGTACTCCCTTTTTGTTAAATAGGTTAAAAACAATAGTTTTTTTAATCTTTCCAGTGTTCTAGTAGCCTGTGTTTCTTTTAAATGTTCAGATCAATTTAAATTAATTAACAGTGAATCTACTTCTGAAATTATAATAATGGAAGCATTGATCAACTGCCGAGCTAACAAGTTTTCTTCATTTTTATGTCTAACTGCTTTGTCATCAGTTTTATATATTCCTATTAGATTAATTTATACTGATTTTGGCTTAAAAAAATTCAAAAAACTTTTTAATACAATTATTTTTCCATTTCGTTCAATTAAAAATCAAGATCAAAATGTTTTAAATATTTTATGGTGTAATACTGATATTATGTCAGTGATGCAAAATAATGATAACTGGACATCGAACCATTTTGTACCAATTATTAAAAAACTTAAACTAATTTCTAGTAATAATAAGAATTTGGCTATAAAAAACGATACTACTTATCCTTTACACTTTTTTAGTCTTAAAACTGAAACAAATAAAAAACAACAACTTGATTCTGCAAAACATGTCAAAATTTAATCTAAAATTAACTTTAAAAAAGACAATGCTTTCATAGAGTTGCCTTTTGAACCTTCTGTAGATTCAAAAATAGTTAAGTCATTAGACTCCAACTCAGTTATTATTCCTTCATATAATGAATTAAATTCTTTGTATGATGTTTCAACATATCTTGTTCGAGGTAAACTTTTAACTGCTGGCAAAGATGATTCTATTTTGTTAAATATGGTAAACAAAGTATTTTGTCCTAATTCTATGTTTGTTTTTCCAATATCTTTTAATACAAAAAGATCATTTAAATTTGAATGGCTCAGCCAGTTTTCTTGGTTAGCTTATTCTAGCAAAGAAGCTGGAGCTTACTGTCTTCCTTGTACTTTGCTAGGTGCTAGTATTCCAAATAAGTCTGGAATATTAAATTTAGTTTTCAAGCCCCATCAAGAGTGGGGTAATGCTGTTCGTCATTATAGAAAACATGAGGAAAGTTGTGTTTTACATGAAAAACCTATGCTTTTATTTAATGCATTGCTTTCACGTTGCAACTCCAAAAATAATGTTATTGAGGTTGATTTAAATAATTCTCGTTTGAAACTTCTTTCTGATAACAAAAAAAAATTAGTTCCAATAATTAAAATAATAATATTTCTTGGTAGAAACGATCTAGCATTTCGTGATGCTAGCAAATATCATCCTGATATTGGGGAATCTTCTACACAAAAAGTTGGAATTAGTAACTTCATAGAGCTTTTAAATTTTTGTGTTAATGCTGGTGATCAAGTATTAGCTAATCATCTTTCTTCAAGTCCAAAAAAATGCAACCTATATATCAAAAACTACCCAAAACCAACTTATTGATTCTTGTGGGAAAGCAATTGAGAAAGTTTTAATAAAAAATGTCAAGCATTCAATTTTTTTTTCAATTCTTTGTGATAAAGCAGTTGACTGTTCAAATACTAAACAAATGTCACTTGTTTTAAGATATGTAAATTCAAATAATGAGATTTGCGAGGATTTCTTAAGATTCATTGATT